TTTTCACTTTTATATCAAATTAGATATTGATTACATATATCATAAAATTAGTAAATCAAAGCAGGGTTTTCTATGTTGTAATTCATGCCAAACTTAATATTCTCTTCACTGATTCTTTGTACTGAGAAAGGGTAATTTCATTTTCCCCCTCATTCTTAAGAGTAACAACAGATTTTTGGTAATCTTCAACTTCTTTAGTTCCAAGAAGTTCTTCTTTATTTACTTCTGTGTTCTCAGTAGCTTTAATTTGAAGAAGTGTTTCCAGGATATTTTTTTCTGAGGCACTATTTTTCCATATATATTCTTCCATGTCTGCTTCAGTCTTATTTTTTTCCCATTCTTCAGTTTTCTAAAAGGAAAAAACAAAGAGTTCTCAATTCTGAGATTGTTATCAAAAGACAAAATATTTTTGTTTTGTTTTTTTAAATATTTATTTTTTTTTTTTAGTTGTAGATGGACACCTATTTTATTTATTTTTACATGATGCTGAGGATCAAACCCAGGGCCTCTCACATGCTAGGTAAGCCCTAGACCCCTGTTTGTTTGTTTTAGGGTAAGAGAAGTTTGCAAAAGGTAGACAGATCCAGGGGACACTTTGTCTGTACACTGATTGACCCCCTCATGAAGCACTGTTGTGACTACCTGGCCCAGCTTTAGGGCTGCATGCTCTATTCTAAGAACACTAGTCAGTCAAGCTGTTACCACTCATTCGCTCTATCTGCCTTGCAAATTTCACTTACAGAGCTATCCTATTTTCCAACAATTACAGAAAACTCTTCTGTAATTTCTATTCCATTAATACATCAATATTTCACACTTCTGAGGTTAAAATAATGAAGGTTGAGAGGAAACTGTATCTGATCTTTTTAACAGTCTTGTGGGAATGAAAGGGAAGGGCAATTACAATAAAAATTCAAAGTATATGTGCATGTTCATAAGCAATACATGGTTTTTATCAAAATGACTCTTTGTTTCCATAATGAAAACAAATTTGTTAGAATTTGTTTTTTTCTTAATAAAATTTATTACCATGTATTCTAGGGAATACTGGTAGGTTTTATGATATTATAATTCAGATTTGGGATTTGAATGGAGATGTAACATTCTGCAAAAAAACAAGCAACCTAGCTAATAAGTAATATGCCCTGGTTCAAAGAAATGCTGAACAGCCACATTCTTTCCAAATTAACACATACAAATATTCTAAGCCAATGACTATTGTAGAATCATCTGCTATTCTGAGTAAACAAGTTTAAAAGTAGTAAAATGTTACAAAAAAAGTGTGTAAGCCTGTCAGAAATACTATTCTACTTCAGAAAAATCTACTTTTGAAAACCCAACCTCGAGCAGGCAGAGCTTCAGGTTTCATCAGAACTCTGTTCTAAGACACGGGTACATA